GTGTATGATGACTGTTTTATATATGTTGATTGGATATGACATATGTGGATGATTGTATGGTGTTAGATGATGATGAGCATATGTATGCTATATAATTGTATGATGTATGAGTTGGAAAACATTGATATGTTATGTATGGATTATGTTGTTGATCTCTATATGCATTGACTGGATGTGATGTATATAGTTGATGTATGCATGAGGTGTGGCTTCTGTTAATGCGGTATGACATTAAAGCATATTGACTAACTTATGACTTAAGGAGAGGAAATTGTTTTGAAAACTAAAGATCCCACATGGAATTTTGGAGTGGTGTTCGAGTAGGTCACTATTAAAAAATTCTCTTTGAATAAATGTTTCTCTTGGAATGAGTTTTGAGGTATATTAAATTTCCTTTAGATCCTTAATTAGTGGTTGAAAAAGGTAGGAGATGAAGAGATACAATCTTTAAAAGTAAATTATGTTTAACATATACTATCTAATCGTACCATTTTCTCTCGCATGATATTGTGTAGTGGTTTATGAATCCATTACTCATTCCTAATAACTAATTCAAATACAATGGTGACCACGCCCCCGCAGGACAAGCATGGAAAATGGACCCTGAAACCTCTATGCATCAAGATACTTATCAACTTTAGGACAAGATAGATAATTATTGTATACTGATAGGATATCGAAATAGAGCTTTTTCTTTGAAACTCTTGTTGGCTTGTTGCGTTATCTCTAGAACCAGATCCTGTGGAATCAGAGTAGAATCTATGGAGCAAAACACTAGCAAGAACAAAATAAAGGATGAAACCAAAATAAAAAGAGTAAGATTACAATAATTTCCATAGAATTTAAACGATTTCATCTAAATTCAAACACATTCCTTATTCAAATCCAAACATGCACTTCAAACCCGATTTCATAACAACAAATTCGATAAACACGAATTGCCAAATGCAAATAGCCAAAATTCAAAAGTTTGAAAGCAAAATAAAAATGAAACTTAAATCCTAAAAGTTGAAGACCATATCACAGTGTCTATTTTGCCTAGCATCGTAACTATTGGTTCAAATTAAAAGAAAAACATCAGTGAAAATTAAAGAAGAAAAAAAAAAAAAGAGAAAGAACAAGTGCATCGAGGTACTAAATGGCAAAACCGTTGAGAAGGAGCGAGAGGTTTAAAGAAGGGCACAAGAGCTTACTCTTCAACTCATATAAAGTAACTTTTTACTCCAATTCGTAACTACCTACTCTAAAATAACACATTCTTGTCCATATTTTTTTTTCACTTTACTAACAACTGCTGATAAATTTCTTCTAAAGTATCATGTCACAATAAGTATTTTGCTGCTTGTTTATATAGAAATATAAAATGTCTCAATTTTGCTAGTTAAAATAATTCTTTTTATATTAAGTAAGTAAAGGAATTTGTAGAAAAATCGGCGGGAATTATATTTATGGATTATTTTTTGCAAAATTTTAAAAATAAGAATTAATAAATACTTCGTAAGAAAATTTGTAGAAAACGAATTATAAACAGATATCTGCATAAATTCTTGCATTTTAAAAAAATATTTAAAATTTATTGAAGATATAAAATTGTAAGAGAATTCGTAAGAAATACAAATGTTTCTTGCAAATTTTTCTGTGAATTAAAAAATTGCAAGAAAAAAGATGTATAATACATAAATTGTCAACAAAATCTGCATGAAATTCTTGCGGAATTTTTTCGAAAAAAAAAATCCGCAGGTGTTTCATGAATTTCTAGTAGTATGAAACAGGGCAAAATCAGGAAGCAGTAGCACATATAGCCTCCTATCTCGCCTGGCCTATTTTGGCTGTTTAGACTTAACTTTGCCATCCTTAAATATTAATAAATAAATAAATAATACATGTACTTAAAGTATAATGTATAATAAATTTATTAATTTTATGATCACTTTCTATGTAATGTAAAATAGTTTGTGGTGTTAATCATTTAAAAATCATGATACACATTAGATCATTGTTAAAAATAAATTAATCATACATGCTAATTTTTTATTAGATCACAGTGTAAAAACATATTTTTAAGGCATATACTACCTTTATATATATATATATATATATATATA